TTTATCTGGCTGGTACAGTGAGGATTCACTCTTTGTGAAAGGATTGCTGTGTGATAATGCCCCACTGAGGGAGGAAATATATTCTCTCTCTCTCTGGTGAGTGTGAATGCCTTAGGACAATTGAAAGAATTTTCAAAAAATAATGATGATACAACTGTATAACATCGATAGGGTGTTTTATTATTTTTAAAGCATCTTCATGATGTTTAAGGTCATGAAATACTCATTGTGTTCACTATCACCACCCTCCATCAAGGCTACTCACTTATCTAAAATGCTGCCCCCTCCCTGCTTTGTACTTATTTAAATAATTACCCAAACCCCATCCTTCATCATCTTGTCTCAGATCAAGTCTACCCAACTGCTTGCTGCCTCCCCCAGTCCACAGTAACCTCCATCAGTCCTCAATTCTAATAGCATTCACCATCAGGACCACCATCGAGGCTCTCACTGACTTCTCACAGCATCATGCAGGTTTGTGCATCTGTCGAGATCCCTAGAGGAAACGGAAGGCTCACCCGAAGGGTGATCGAAGCTAATTTAATCAAGAACTATTTACAGAAGCACAAGTAACAACACGAAACCTGAAGGGAATAAGCACCTAAGACAGGAGCAAAGGTATATAACTGGAACCCTCCACTACCCTTAGGTCTGACACAATGAACTTTAACCTAGGGAAGACAGTAGTTTATGAGAGGAACTACTGATGGCAAGTGTGGCCGTGCTAAAGGATTCAGCCACCTACAAAAAGAGGCCCATCCAGGAGGGACCAAAGAATGGTCCCAATCTCCTGCTGGTCCTTCCATCGACTGAACTCAGTAGAAAGCCAGGAGCTAGGGAGTCCAGCGATGCAGTCTATGGGAGTTATCCTGCCAAGATCCAGAGAAGAGTAGAGAGAGAATGAGTGTCAGAAAGAGAGTTCAGTTTGTATGTTTTGCTTCTGGAATGATAGCAAGCTCCATTAGTTCCTACTGCTTGTCAATCAATTCCTGACTTTGAGGGCTCTACAAATCTGGAACAGGGCAGAAGGGAATCTTCCCTTGTGGCTCTGGACAGTATCAGCGCTCCTGGATCTTGAGAAGACTCCCAATATCTATTTTCTACATCTACATCCTTACATGTCCCGTGATGAGAGTTCTGTTTGTCAAGTCTTCCCTGCTTGGTTAACACTAAAAAGGAATTCAGAGGTATCTTTAATTTAGAAAGTACAGGCATTACTATTTTATTTCCTTGGCTAGACCAGCACATATTTGCATCATCGTTATCTAATATAATCTAGGCATGTCTCTAGCTGAGAAAACCAATTAGTAAAGAAGAAATTTAAGCACACCTAATCTCAATGTCACTTTAAAAGAAAAGTAAAAAAGAGAAAGAAGCCAACTGCTTCTTGGTGGATGTTTTCTGCATATTTATGTTTCTCATTGGTGACAAGTGTGACCAAATATATGAATAAAACAACTTAGCACTGAAATATAAGGGTTGAAAATGATTTTTAAATTATGACAAGCCGATAGAAAAACAACTGTTCAATACTATTTCATTAAAAGGAATGTTGTATTCTTTTTATTCTTATTTTTTAGTACAAATAAATGAAAACATTGAGCTACTAAAAGAGAATCTCACAATGATTCTGTAACAATTTCTCACTCTTCCCACATTTAGCAGAGAACTGTACATGTAGCAATACTGAATAAATTCTTGCAAGCAAAAGAATAAATGAAATTCTCCAACCTTTCTTGTTTATTCATTGTGATATGTAGTAACCCTTACTGCTAGGAATCCCATTCTAATCTACATTCCTCCTGCTATAAAGCTAATCTCCAATCATTCCCCCACCCCGGCCCATGAAGGGGGAAACAACTTAGAAACCTTTCTGTCCACATGGCGAATTTTTAAGTGACCTTGCAGCCTTCATGAAATGATTAAAAAAAAAAAAAGAGTCATGCCATCCTTAATAAACACACATACAAAAGGGAAAAGTTTCAAAAATTAATCAGTTTTCTTGGTTGCTAATCTTCCACATCAATGTTACTTCTGCCACCACTCCTCATCTCATAAATGCCCAAGAAAGCTGGGGACTAGTTTATCTTCCCCCTCCCCATTGATTCCCAAATATCATGAAAGTGCTTGGCATGTGGTAAGAGCTCACAGAGCAATTTCCAAAGTGAACAGAAATCTACCGTGTAGCACCTAGAGACGGAACATCACTGTAAAAGTAGATCATCCCACTGACAGAAACCTTCCTTAAATAACGATTATGGGACCAGCAGGTGGCATAATGTTACATTACTGGACTCCCACATATTCGACCACAATTCGAATCCCAGACCGGGCAACTTGAAACTCAGGTTGAGCACGTGTGAGTACATGCCCAAAATCCCAAGAGATTGGAAGGGAAGGGAATGTGTCATGGCCATCCCCCTAGCCGGTGATTCCTCACTTTCTTTATCTCTTTCTCTCTCTCCAGCAAGTGCATGCACTTTATAGCAAAAAACATCTCTCAAAAAAAAAAAAAGATTATAAAAATAACAAGCACAGTTATAATAATAAGATGCTTACTGAGTGTTGTGCTCTTGTGCTTTATTGCATTAACAATTTAATTTAACCCTTAAGAATAGACATCCTGTGACGAACTAATCATTAGTATTCTCACTTTACAAACAAGAAAACTGAGGCATGGTACAGGTGTGTCACTAACCTAGGTTACAGGTCAAATAAGGATAGGAGCCAGGGTATAAACCCAGACAGACAGAAACCAGAGCCCATACCCTGAACATAACTATAATCTATCTGCTTATCTTTCTAAAGAAACTGATGAATTCCTTCCAGGTACTAGCTATGGTGTTTGTGTTTCAAAGAAAATGAGTGAATGATTGGACTCTTTTATTAGAAAAGTTTTGAAAGTGTACCAACTAAGAACTTTGTGAGTTCTTCACAAAGTATCAGATGAGTAGTAGAAATATAACACTCAGCTGTCTTTTCCCACATTGATAACCCACTGCAAATGGTTTGTCACTTTCTTATCCTTACAATCATCTTTCAACTACTGTGTTTTTATCAGAACCCACTGGGTTCAGAAAGGAAGGACAAAGCAGAGATGTAACACTTGGTGATTAAAAAATAGAATACAAGTGTGTCTAGTGTTTGAGATGGGGAGAAAACTGGATAGGTGGTCTTCCTTTTTCATCAAAGATCCTTTTTTGTTGTTTTTCTCTTCAATGGCTAGATGACTATTTACAAAAAGTCCTCCCAGAAAGTAACAAAGGCTTCATGGGGATATAATGTCCTCGGTTGCCTTGCCCAGGGTTGAGTGGAAAGTGAGAATGAAGGGAAATGAAAAACCCCAGGATTACAGAGATGGTGAGAGGCAGAAGAGCATGAGTCAATACAATTTCTTTATTGTTAAAACTCTCGTGTCTGTAGCAACAGCCTACGTTGTATTTGTGCTCAGTTGCATCTCCCTTTTGCTTTCTTTTGAGAACATTACTTATTTACAGGCACAATTTCTCATCCTCTTTTTCTTTCTAACTGTTGAAGAAAGCAATGACATTTGTAGAGTTCTTCAATGTCTTTGCTAGAAAGTTCAAATTGGCTAGGAAAAAGAGTTTTATGGTAAATAAACAACTCACAAAGACGAAAGGAAACAGAAGAACTTTATTTAAGACCTCTAAATAAAAGTTCAAAGATGAGGAAAAATCAAGTTCACAAACAATTCAAAAACAAATAGCCACATGTTATAAGCTAGGTTAATACACATGGTTAAATATAAGCCAAGCGAGAAAAGGTTTTATTTCCCCAAGTGAGAAATATCTCTCTTTGTTGTCAGCATCAGTTTTACTTGTCCCAAGTCAATGCATCACAATTTATTTGTTTTTTTGTTTGTTTGTTTGATTATTTGCTTATTTTTGCCAACATGCTCCAAAGGTGGAATGCAGCATGCCGTCCTCCAAGTATTTGAGGTTGAGTTCCAACACCACTTGCTGCAAGCAAATTATGCTTTGAAGGCTCACATATTGTACGAATAATTTATCCCAATTTAGCATTCTGTTCTATGACATAAATCTTGTTTCAGTACCAACCATTTCCCCCAAAATATCTAAATAAAACTGATATTTCAGAAAGTTGACTGTCTCCATTTGTGTGTTTTGTTTTTGTTTTTGTTTTCCCTATACAGCACCAGGAGAAGTGACACTCAGCTTAAAAGCACAGTCTAGGGGGACCAGCGGTTAGTGTAATGGCTATGTCGCTGGACTCCCACGTAGTCGACTGCGGTTCGAGTCCCGGACCCGGCGGCTTAAACTCACGCTGGGCGCGTGTGCGTGCATGCCCAAGATCCCGAGAGAAGAATGGAGGAGAAGGGATTGTAGTATAGCCATACCCAATGGGGGTGATTTCTCACTTTCTGTCTCTCTGTCTCTGTCTGTCTGGCGAGTGCACACGCCCTATAGCAAAGACCTCTAAAAAGAAAAAGCACAGTCTAGGTGGCAGCCTTGTGCAATGTTTGACATCCTTTCTATTTAACACTCAAGCATCCAAGATTAGGTTAGTTGGAAAACTACACAAATAGAAGAAACCTGCTTGCAACTGGCAAATAGATTGATCTGCACTTCACTGCAGTTGCTTTAACCTCTAAAAAGTGATGTAAGAGACAACGAGCTTCTCTAACGGTGATTAGCAAGAATAAAAAAGTGAAGCAAAGGTGACCTCATAAACGGTAAGGCCCAGTAGTTATTTGTCTACATTTCTCTTTCTGCAAATCACTAACTAGGGAGTCTGGTTAGCTGGCTTATCTTTCCAGGTTTCTTCACCATTCTCAAAGAGTCTATTTTCTCTCTGTAGTCAGCCACCACTAGCAAACGACTTGTTATCTTTTAGCAAAGATAAAAGATAAGGAGTACGTAGGACTGCTCTGGAGTGTCAGTCTGTGACATAGACCAACGCAATCAGCTAACTCTTTCC